CCCGACCATCTCCACACACCTGTGGATTGGCTATACTACTATCGTCTTAGCAGGACCAGCCTTTTCTTTGATGCAATAAAAGGACCCAGCCACGGATTTTTAACAAACCCGGCCAGTTCCCTATCAGCCGAATAGAAAGAGCAAATATAGGAGAAAGCAGGAGACCAAAGCAATGTTAGGATAGGTAGGTAATTCTCTCGGCTCACCGCTCTCTACCACCTTCATAACAATACGACACTATTTATATAACACATAGTAAGCTAGATCGACCGATTCGAAGGCCGATCGATAGAACCTCGCACCGCCACGAAAGGGATTCTCGCTGCGCCACATTCATCAACGCCTGTTTGTATGGACTCTTGTAATGAGTCTTCGGTGCCTGGGCTACCAGTAATATTACCTTGGGACAGCCCTGCCAAGCAACTGCTACTCATCCCAAACCAGTGGCCGATTATCCACTTAGTACGTAGACTAGCATGCATGAGGGTGGAACCCATCTAGTAGTACTTTCCCCTTTCCCGATCATCGGACAGTGGTTTGGCAGTAACCCATTCATGATTCGCTCATTTGCTTAAGCGTGGTTGATAGTATCATCCACATTCACGTGGTTCAGGTTCCATAGAAGTTCGAGTACTCTCAAGAGCCACTGCAACAAATCATTGCTCGAGTACTGAGGAGATTGCACGGAATATATTCCGATCTGAGACTGAAAACCAAGAAAGTTGCCACAGTGCCGGGTTACACGTAGCATGCAGCAGAGGCTGTGATTTGGTACACAGATGACACAATATTTGCTTCGTTTAGAAAAGTTGCATCCTCTTTCTGATAGTACTGCGCAGGATATCAACATGTATAGACACACCTCAGGATAAACCCTAATTGAACCCCCATGCGACTAATCCCCCTACGTCAAGCTTCCTGTACCTATGTATTATGTACATTAATAGGCCAATCCCACGTCCATTTGGGGCTTGGAATTGCAATTGCTTTGTTGACCGTCCCATTCAACCTTATTCAGCTTTGACCTGGGATCTACACGGTCGTCGCACTACCACCCGTGTTTGCCACAGTTTGCTCATCAATTCAATTTAAAATCTTAAATAGTCTTAACTATCGCATACCTCCAAGAGAACAAAAGTAAACTCTCTATATGAAATATTTGCTCGGTCGTCTTCCATTGTTGCCCACCCTGTTTATTTCACTGCCAGCGGGGAAAGCGGGCTGAGAAGGGGAAAGGAGTAAAAGAAAAATTAGAGTAGAAAGAACGACTAAATTGATTGAAGAAACGCGTAGTACTCTGTACCCACGGAAAGACCAACCTCACGCAGGGAACCACCTCCGGAGGACTAAGATAGTTAAGTCGCTACCAAGACTTCTAACTCCTCTCAATTTTTACTCAGTACGATCCTAGCGCAACCCAAATCAACTCACCCAGTGGTCCATGGTTCGTAAGTGTGGGCCTTGATCGCACAAACAACATGGGTCGCTCCAAATCAGACCGATTGCATAATGAGTGCATCTTCGCAGTGAACTAATATGCTGCGTAGTGGATGATGTATGTCATTCTTGGGAAAGGTGTACGTACGACTCCGATCTATGCATGGACTTTTGGTCTAACAGAAAATGAAATGTTGGAATATTTCCGGCCTATTTGTGGTCGTGGGAATCGATCGGGTATTCTGGGACCCTTATTCCTTATTCCCTTTTTTTTCAAGTCTTCCTTTGAAATGGGTCACTCGTGACTCGTAATGCATTTGTTTTCCCAGCCACTGAGTAGACGTGCGGCTGAGAGGTTGCCTCTGTCAGCAGCCAAGCCCTAAGAAGGGTTTACTGAGCGCCTACGGCGCACGCCGTACTAACCTCCTTGCAGTCTATCAGTTCCTTGTCTGGTAATATATACGGGTTGATCTGTAGTAATTCCACTTGCAATTTTCTTGTCAATAATCGGCCTGTCGAGGGATTCTGTCGGTTGTCCTTGGATCAAGTCGGAGGCATTGACCAATGATTTTAAATATATCCTGGTACTTTACTTCCCCAACAGAACGACTCAAATAATTAGGACAATGGATATGATGGACAATTGAGTCCAAAGCCATTCAACGAAACTTCTAAAGAACACCAGCCACTATGGACAAAAAAAAAAGGAAATATAGAGTAGGGAAGAAGAATAAGAACAAGGGCTAAGATTCTCTTCCACAACAAAAGTATCCCGAATATATGTATATATACTTGATACTAGGGTTGTGTCAACTGAGTCAGAGCGCAATTGTTGAATATATATATATATATACGCACAGCATTGGGCTAAAGGAAAGGGAGGATTTATTTAGGTTTTCTTCTCCCTTTCACTTCTTTGCGAACGGCAACACTAATACTACGTTTACCGACCAGGAAACGCGGGGGACAACTATATGTACGGGAAATTTTTGCGACATATGATACGATATACTGCTGTCCTACATAAACATAGAGACTAGCCGAAAGCGTTCCAATAGGGCATAATCAAGATAGGAGAATACATCATTAAGATAATGAAATATAGCTGAAAATGCATCAATTCATAAGCTAGCCTTTTTTGTCGAAAACAGATTACTGTCGTCTCAATTCATCCCATCGTGCTTATCCCCTCACAGCCACAGAGTTTCTGTTTACCGTCCCATGCGGATGACACCAGCAGCCATCAGTTTTTGAATCTTAAGGCGGACCTGGGCATTCTTCATGTGTTCCTGCAGAGCAGCAGGGTCGCTCTTGGCCTGCTGCAGAATGCTCTGCATGACTGGATCCTGAAGGATAGCCATGATCTGTTGAAAGTTAGTATAATCTAAAAAAAGTCAATCACAATTGGCACCACCTACGTCTGGGTCGTTCTGAATTCTCTCCATGGTCTGTTGTTCAGTCTCGCCTGCACGAGAGCTGAATTGAGCCTCCAAGCACTTCTGCTGTTGCTGATCGATCTCGCGGGCATGGGTTCCATCATCATTGTCCTGCGCTTCAGTGCAAGCATCCAATGCCTTGTTGTACTCCTTCATAGCCATCAGAGCCTGTGCCTTGCGCATATAAGCACGGATGAACTTGGCATCACGGCTGATTGCCTCGTCGCAGTCCTGAACAGCCTGAGGGAAGGCCATAAGCTTGATGAGAGCTGCGGCGCGGTTAGAGAAACCTCGAGGATCCTGGGGAGCACGCTTCGTCATCTCAGTGAAAGCGTCAACAGCGCCAGGCCAGTCAGCCTCCTGGAACTTCTTCTGACCGAGCTCACGAGCCTTCTCGGCCTCAGCCGGGTCGATGTAGGCTTCCTTCTCAGACTTGGCTTTGGTCTTCTCTGCGTTGCGGAGTTTGGTAAGGGCATCGGGGGTTCGGTGTTCGGTGAGCGACTTGTTATAGTATTCAATTGCCTGGGTGAGATCGCCAAGCTTCTCGTACGCCGTACCAATTCTTGTGTAAGACTTGGCCATGGTCTTGAAGTCAGCCCGAACTTCACGGCCTTCTTCAATGGCCTTTTGGCAAATTTCAATAGCACCCTGAAGATCACCTTTCTCGAACTTAGCGGCGCCAATGTTGTTGAGGTATGTGATATCCTTGTTCAGCTCCCAGGCCTTCTCGTAGTGCTGAACAGCCTCATCGAACTGCTTCTTTTTGTAGAAGTCGTTACCAATCTTCTTTTCAGCGTCTCCCGCCTCTTGGGCCTTCTTCTTTGCGATCGCCTCCTCATCCTCGGGCTCGGGCTCAGGCTGAGGTTCGGGCTCCTTCTTTGCCCCAGAGGCGGTGGGGCGGACATCAGGCATTGGCACGTCTTCTTGGGGTTCTGCGGCACTGGAGGAGGCAGCGCCTTCGGGAGGAGCACCAAAGCTCATGTCAATACCCAAAAGAACACTCATAACCTGCAAAAAGCGGGGATCCTTGATTTCTTCACCGACACTGTTCGGGTTCTGCTTAATGCGCTGCAACTTAGCCATGAATTCACCATCTGCCAAGAGACCCGAGGTCTTTGGGTTGCTGGCCAGCTTCTGGAAAAGCTGAGGGTCGTTGAAAATGCCACCAAGTCCGCCCAGAGGATCACCAGTGACACCGTCAGCCTGAGCTTCGGCATCAATAGCCCTCTTGACGGCGTTCATACCGGACTTAGCTTGCTCGTTTCCAGGCTCGATTTTGAGGGCCTCTTCGTACGCATCGTGAGCAGCCACTACGGGTCTGTTAGTGACACTTGATAATGAAGCAAGTCAAGTCAAGTCATCACTCACGAAGGTCTCCAAGACCGCGATAGGCAGCTCCCTTACGCTGCCAGCCTTTGGACCAATCTGGCTTGATTTCCGTAGCCTTGTTGGCATCTTCGAGAGCCTTTTCGTATTCGGATTGAGCAGAGTACACTGCAGAACGGTTGGAATAAAGAATGTGGTTCTCGGGCTCGACTGCGATAGCCTGGGTGAATTTGTCACTGTAAAGCGATTAGTACGACAACTTGTGATAAAGCGGGGTAAAATACATACATAGCGGTAGGATAGTCCTTTGCAGAGAAGGCCTTGTTGCCCTCTGCCTTCAAAGCGTCAGCCATGCTGTCAGGGTTCAATAGTGGTTGGGTTGAAATGAAAGGGAAGAGATGTGCCGTTTAAAATCGACTCTAGTCGAGATCGACTGCTGACGGGGGAAGCTGCGGCAGTTAATGAGCTCTGCGGAGCTTCTCGAAATTTCCGAGAGGAATTGAGTGCCTCAGGCAGGGATGACTTGACTGAGTCGGAGCTCTGTCGCGCTAGACCGTTCTAGGCGGCTGCTCCCCGCTACGGGCAAAAAGAGAATGGAAAAGCCGTCAAAAACATCTTTTTCTGCCGCTGTCGCACTCGCCAAGTTCTCCCCTCACAGGCTCTTCTTCAACCCGGTCGGGTATTATTTGGCACTACTCCGTATAGATAGATGCTGGTCTAATATGCGTCTCTGAATATGCCCTTTCATAAACCTTTTCGGTGATTGCATTCGTCTTTCGACTCGGCTTCATCTCGTTGAAAATGGCCTCCGCGGGGGCCACCGGCGCCTCAGTGACTGAGCTCGCCTCTAAGCTCTACGAGCATTGCCTGAACAACTACCCTCCTGATCAACTGTTCTACCAGCAGGACCTGCTTGGTCTGGGCATAGTCCCCAAGTCGGACCTTGCGCTTCTGCTACGATGCACCCAATCGCTCGTTGACCAGAAATTGTTTCGCCTTCTTCAGGGCAAAAATGACCGATTGGCTTGGAAGATTATCTCACGGGAAGATGCTGAAAAGTATGACATTGTCCTCTAGGACTTTTCGGGCGACCTCCCATATGATAGGCTAACGTGACAATTTTACTCTCAGACTTCAGAACCTGAGCCCGGACGAAAGTTTGGTATACAATGTGATCCACTCCACTGGTCGCAACGGTATCTGGGTTCGTGCGATCGGAACTCGAACCGGTTTACATAAGTCTATCTTAGACCGCTGCCTTAAATCTTTGGAGGGAAAGAACTATATTAAGAGCGTGCACAATGTCAAATTCCCAAGTCGGAAAATGTACATGCTGGCGGGCCTCGCCCCCAGTGAGGATGTTACCGGTGGCGCCTGGTTCACTGACGGAGTCCTCGATGAGAACTTCATAAACACTGTCGCTGGGTATATCGAGTATACAGTGAGCAGAAAGAGTTGGTTTGAAGTTTCAAATGCAGACGCGCACCGAACCAAGCGCATGAAAACTAGCGATGGTAGCGTGTCTGTCAAACAAGAGGCTGGACAGAAACATTTATTCCTTTCCCGGCCGGTTACCGTGGCTATCCAACTGTGTCGATGCTCACAGGTGCAGTTAATGAGAGTGGCATTACCCCTGTTCGTCTGGGTGAAGAGAGTATTACACAACTTCTTGATATGCTCTGCTACGACGGTAAGCTGGTGGCCTTGAACAACGGGGAGATGTACAAGTCGGTCAAGAACCCAGAAGCTGTTAAGCAGTCGCAAGCCCGCAAGCCCGCAGGCGAAGATAAGGGAATCGACGACCGGCTGGTAACCAACGGCATGACAGAGGCACCTTGCGGTACCTGCCCAGTCTTTAAGCTTTGTGCGCCTGGAGGAGCTGTGAGCCCAGAGAGCTGCGAATACTTTGACCCCTGGCTGGAAAAGGCTCTCGGGTTTTAGGGGCTCCGTTGAGCCTAGGTCCTCTTGTTATTTTCTTTTTATTTATGTACAATGAGCGCAACGGCGCCAGTCATGTTTGCTTGCATAGCGATGGCGTTCACGAATCTTGGGATTGGCTATGGTCGAGGCCTCTTTTTCTCTTGTGGGAATTTACGGCTTAAAAGTGCAATCGGGATACTGATGGTTTGGTTCTAACAGAAGCTATTTGTTTGCTTCATTTCGTGGCCTAATCTTTGTACCTTATGAAATGGTGGAAGGCTGAAAATCCACGAGAGCTATTGAATTGCTCAAAGGAATGAGATAAAATTCAATCTCAGGAAACATTAGAGGCTAATCATCAAGATAAACTGGCGGGTATGGTCAACTATTTAACTTGGCTGTACACTGAGGACAAAACCACGTGCCTACAGGCTCCCTGGTCAAACCGACGCACTTCCAGTGGAACCACTCGAACTCGCAATTTTCGTTATCGCAAGCAACCATGTCACCATGGCTAACGCTGCGGCAAGTACAATAAACCTTGGTATCTTCGTTGCCCTCATCTTCTTCCTCTTCTTCCATGTCGTCATCCCCACGCCGAGCATCGCTGTTGTTCTCGGAATCCGAGACATCAGCGCTGCTGAGCATCGAATCATCCTCGTCTTCATCGCCCCCGGGGGCAGAAGGCGATTTCTTTGTAGTAAGCTTAATACGGCCACTAGCACTGGACGACCGTTTAGTTGATTTTCCATTAAGTCCAGATGATGCCTTAATCTTTTTCAATTGTTGATGAGGCGCAACCTTCTTGGTCAAGGCCTTTTTCATTGTGCTTGATGAGCGTGGCCCAGCACTACCAGCACGACTAGAAGCTGGTGTGCCTCCCTTAGGTGTGCCGGGACCTAAAGAGGATTGGCGGAGATTGGATGATGCTGCTGGTAGCGTTCCTAGTGAAGGGTTTAGACGCCGCCGTTTGTTCTCTACAGCACCAGCTGATGATTCGCGTTGTCGTTGGTGAAAATGAGCTGTGCCACCGGCGGGAGTTGCGGGGGCCGAGCTTCGCGCTGCAGTCGGAGAGCCAAGGGCAGCTACACCCGCTGATCGAGCCAGAGATTGGTTAAGTCTCTGAGTGGCGGCTATTATAACGTTGGCGTTTCCAGACGTAGGATGCAGGGGAGTGTTGTATGCGTTAGAGTCGGAGGCGGAGTCAGGAAAAAAGATCTTTGGGAGGTCTCGATATTGGTCGCTGTTGTTGAAAAGAGACGGCAAGGGAGGATCGTTCGAAAGAACACCGTCATTCTGCAAGTCACGAATTTTGATGTCCAATTTCTTGATTTGTCGGTCTAACAAAACGCACGCTTTCTCACTCAGTTGTATCTTCTCATCCTGTAGTTGTTGCGACTTGTCAAGATTCTGTAATATGACTTTTCCATACTGCTCTTCTTTGGGATTCGGCGTCAGACTGCCATTCATTTTGATGAACTTTTGTAAGCTACTATCTCTCGAATTGATCGTAGTGCGACATTCCTGGATGATTTTGTCTTTGGCCTGAATCTCTTCCATCAAGTGGTTAATTTCCGCCGGCAGATTCGCAACATCATGAACGAATTGCTCTAGTACGGATGCACAGTCCTCAGCGCCGTGCGCCATATCGATGTAGTTCTCAAGCGACCTTGATTAATATGCGCCACTGATGTTGAAGTGGTTCGGACTAGCCAGAGTTTCTGATGTATTTAGCTTTGAGAGCGAAAGTCTCATTGGCTTGTAGAAAATAGGGACATGAGCGAGCACCGGTCGTAATCGTAACTGGCAGAACGCGTGAACCAAGCGTGGAGGATGAACGAGCGATGGGCCGTTGGCTGATAATGGATAAGACGCCTGCGACGGGGGGCTGCCTCGACCGGAATAATTTGACTCCGGAATGTACCTGAAAATAAATTCTGCACAGCCACATATACAGGAGTATCAGCCACACCTCCCTTTTCAAGCTGGCGGGGTGGTCACAGCCTAACAAATATATTGCAAAAACTGGCGATAATTGATGATGACGATGTACTTTTATGACAACGCACTTTGGTGTATACTTTTCACTGATATATGATCTACTTCCTCAAGTTGCTTTACTAGACTGTTTGAATGAGGTTTCTAATACTTACTATGAAGCTACAAGAGAGACCTATCTTCACAAGAGATCTCGGTATTTTCTATAGCTGGTTTAGTACCCTCTACGATGAGTCGGCATATCAGCACAACCCGTTATCACTAATACATTGTTTGACGAGAGATTCATGACTCGCAGTGCAATAGTCCAGTAATTGCCAATTAACTGCAACTCAAAATGACGGCCCCGCAGCATGACGAACTATACAATGCAAACAGTACAAACATCTTTTTTGGTAGTTCCCCGCAGCAATGTGAATATGACTGTTTTCAGCGCCGCTGAGAAACTTTCCTACGACATAATTTCTTTCCTTCGACTGGGGTTTGTACCCCATTGAGTTGAATTGCGCACATTACATCCACCTGGCGTTTCTAGCTACCGCAACTAGCACTCTATAGAGGCTTCAGAAACAAGCCATAATGGGCCAAGAAAGTTCCCCTCCAATTCCGGAGGGCATTTGCTCTCTTCTTGATACCGATTTGTACAAGTTGACAATGCAATGTGCCGTTCTGAAGTACTTCCCCGATGTTTGTGAGTATATCTCGGCTCTTATATGGCGTGGTTGAATGCGCTGACGAGTTGTGCTACATAGACGTGACGTATGGGTTCACGAACCGTACTCCACACATGAAGTTAACGCGCGGGGCCCACAAATGGCTTCTGAAGCAAATGGACAGTATGTATGGCCTTATCGATGATTGCGCGAGCGTTGGGATAACCATACTCTCTGGTAGGACTTGCGAACATTCGAATCGCGGAAGAAGAGATTAAATTCCTAAGGACTCGATGTCCATACTTCAACGATGCTTACCTGGATTTCCTGACCACGTTCAAACTCAAACCTTCCGAACAGATCGAAATCAAGTTTACACCCGTGAATGATACCGGCAGTGACAGTGACACGGGTGATGTCGAGTATTTAGTCAAGGGTCTCTGGGTTGACACGATTCTGTACGAGATTCCGTTGTTAGCATTGACGAGCGAGGCATACTTTATGTTCAGCGATAAGGACTGGGATTATAGTTGCCAGGAGGAGAAGGCATATCGGAAAGGATGCACACTGCTTGAGAATGCCTGTATTTTCTCCGAGTTCGGATCGAGACGACGCCGTGATTACCATACTCATGACCTGGTGATGACTGGGCTGATGAAGGCTGCTGAGGAGGGAAAGCGACAAGGGTGGAAGGGTAAATTCACAGGGTCAAGCAACGTTCACTTTGCTATGAAGTATGGTGTCGACCCTGTCGGCACTGTGGCCCATGAATGGTACATGACCATTGCTGCCATTACGGATGATTACGAGAATGCCAACGAGTTGGCCCTGCGGTACTGGCTTGGCTGTTTTGGAAAAGGAGTACGCTCAATCATCTGTGATGTCTGCAAGAGACTAACATTGACAAGGTTCTGGGTATCGCCCTGACGGACACATTCGGTACCCCCGCTTTTCTTGATGCATTCCGGAAGCCAATTCCTGCATTTACCTCCGCAGGAGTTGGTGCAGTCAGCACATCGGCATCTGGACCTGCCACAACTAGCGAGTCGACAGTTCAAAGTGAGGCGGACACCAAGGCCCCGATCACTGCACCACTTCATGACGGTGGAGCTCAGATCTCCAAAGAAACTTATGCTCAAGCCTATACTGGTGTGCGTCAGGACTCCGGCGATCCTGTATACTTCGTAAAGATGGTGCGGGATTTCTACAATAAGGAAGGCGTCACAGACAAGAAGACCATGGTATTCTCTGACTCTCTCAACATCGAGCATTGTCTTGAGTATAAGGTGATTGCGGAGGAAGCTGGATTCCAGCCTGTCTTTGGTGTTGGTACATTCTTTACCAGTAAGTACTAATCTTGGGTATACTCTCTAAGCACTGCGCTAAGTGTTAACAGACGACTTTACGAATAAATCAAATGACGAAAAGTCTAAGCCGCTCAATATTGTCATCAAGATCGCTACGGCAAATGGCCGCCCAGCTGTCAAGCTCAGTGACAACATGGGTAAGAACACGGGAGACAAACAGAAAGTCCAGGAAGTGAAGAAGAAGCTCGGCTATGTCGAACATCAATGGGAAGAAGGCGACGAGAGCAACCGTTGGTCTAAGCGCTAGCTACCTAGACGCTAAGGCTGGAGTGCCGAATAGCGGACGGTCACCGGCTATAATATGTCTTTCCATAGAGATACTCTACCTAGAACGGACGGCTGTTATACACCTATGAACTCAAATTAAAACGGAAGAGGATTTTTCATCTTGGTTGGGTGGATTTTGTGCTGAATGAATTAAACGCATCGCTCGCTTCTGCATTGAAAACAGGGTATCGCAGATGAATAATCACGACTATATGAGAACAGCATGATGAGACTTTGCAAAGCTGGACAGTTATATGTATAAGAAATAATATAAACACACTCTTCATCCTAAAACATCTCATCACCAGAGTTAAGCCCCAGGTCTTTATCCAAATCACCTGTGATCTCTTCTTTCCTAGGAGCATTTGAGTTTTCTTCCTGTTTATCCGGGAACGAGAAGAAATCTCTGCTGTGGTCCTCTAGCGAGGAGCTAGAAAAGTCAATCTTGAAATCTGCTCCTCGTAAGAAGTCCTCTGCCCAGTCGATATCAATATCCGGATGGCTCGACGACTGGAAGAGTGGGAATTCAGTGTTGTTTGAGTCTATATCGAGAAAGTTTGACGGATTGAATGAGGGTTCAGGCAGAGGAGAATGAGTGTTGAAGGCGGAGCTGAAGTGATCGTCAAAGTCGTTTGTAGGGGTAAGGTAATCTTGCTTAGCCTTAGATGGGGAGGTACTAGTATTGTTGGCTGCTGTACTGATTGCAGTACTGTTCTGCTTCGACCTTTGGTCGACGGGGCTGGGTTTGGGGGGCTCTGGACCAGGGTTGTGTGGCTTATTCACGGTGTCTGTCTCTATCGGCGAGACCCAATGCTCTGGTGTTCGGTCTTCAGCTGGGGATAATGTCTGTATAGTGGCAACATCGCTCCCCCTCCGATATGGCTCGGCAGGTTGTGGCTGGCTTAGATTGATACTGTTGGATTGCATGATTTTGAGTAATGTACTCGCGCTGTCTGACTGGACTCTAACGGCGGCTTCGATGTTGGCAACTTCCATATCTGCAGCTGGATATAGCTCTTTCAGTCCCTGCAAAACCTGGACACAGCGGTGGAAGTTACGTATGCTGGCTTCTCGCACCGTAGGGTTATCAGACATAGAGTTAGCGAGGTGTAGCACAGTAGCAGGTATGATGACTGTCACGCCAGACTGTGGCAAAAATTGAGTGAGGTTCAGCTGGTTCAGGCCTTGGATGATTTGTGTAATCCCTATAGCTGCATCGTGCATCTTTGACCGAGCGGTGTTGGTCAACTCGATGCGTGATTTGCTCTGGCCCTTGTTGGACCCATACGCCCACGGTCGATATAAGGCGCTTATAGTAGCATGATACAGCATTCTCACCATGGCACCGTGGAGAAGTAAGACATCTTCTCCATCGTTAAAGTTCGTTTTTGAAGCAGGGATAAACTGTGCATCCTTTGGGAGGGAGTTAACCCACGAGTCAAGTCGTTGACTGCATCGGGCCAACTCCGATTCTGAGGCTTGCCTGGGGGCTAGAGTAATAGTGGTCCGATTAGTTATGCCGAACAGGCGCTGCGACGGAGAGTACTGGGCGAAGAGCACGCGACCGATGCATTGACAAAGTTTAGTTTTTTCCATGAACATGGTCGCCAGACGCTTCTGGTGGGATGGGTCCTCCAGTTGGCGACAACGGAACATGTTAATAACGGATGGATGAAAAGATTCGTACTCAAAATCGTCGAGTCTCAACATTGGGACGTTGCTGGTTCCTTCGTTGACTTGCGTAGGGCGTCTCATACCCAAGGAGATGAGACGATCCCGGGAATATAAGCTCCACCACAGACGTATTCTTAATCTTTTGGTTTTGAGGTCCATTGTCGGGGATGTGGTAGGGTCGCGGTTTAATCCGATTGAATGAGCTTGGGTATTGCAAACCCCAATCCAGTCCCATATGTCTCTCTGTGGATGGTTTACATGATCGGTCCAGTATGTCATTAATAGCAGAGTCTGCAAGATAACTATTCGGTCTTCTTCGCAATCTAGGGAATAAAGGAGCTGCTACTCAGTTAGCACTGGAGAGTAAATATACGTTCTGCTGTACTTGCTCTTAGTCGCGTATAGAACGCGCTCCGCGCAATTTTTCTAGTCGCATATCCAGCATCTTGCAAGTGCTTAAGATCCACAAAGGCCGTTGCCACAAACATCACCGCTTGAAATAGTAGAAGGCTAATGTTGCCGTTTGGATCGTTCTCCGCAACACACCTTAGGAAATCCTGCAGGTTCAACACTGGCATAAAGCTATGCACCCATTTGATGTAGCATCGTAGTAACTCATTGCGCAACCCGCTTTCTGGGATCGAGAGGGCTCCACGGAAACGTAGAAACTCTAGGTCTTCGGGGGATATGTGAGAAGGGAGTGGCTTTAGAAAACGTGGCTCTTCATCGAGAATGGCAATAAGAGGGTCAAAATCTGGGTCTATCAGATCCTGCACCGCAGCCACCATGTTTTCGAGCGGCAGAGACGGCCGAACTGCCCGGTTTCCTAGAGTCCGCCATGTGGGAGGCGATTTAGAGTCCTGTAGCCAGGGGGTACGCGCATCGTACCCCAGCGAGTTTCGTTTGGCCACATGCTCACCGTAATGTATGTCTGCGTCTGAGGCCGTGCGCTTCGTGGTCATCATGATGAAAGCAATTTTGTAGATAAGCTGCTATTGCAGCTGTACAAGAAAGAGAACCAGCATAAAAAAAATCTGCCATAGGCTCAACCGGAGTTGTATTCGCACAATCATAGACATGGAATTCGATAGCGATCTCCCCGGCAGTTGAGGGCGGTTTTCCGGAGGTTCCCCGTGTGGGGTAGCTGCGGGTTTTTCCCCGCTATCTTGATATTGGGAAGATTTAAGTGGCCAGACACCATGTGGTTTCATTGGCGGGTGGTCAAATCAGTGATCCTGAGGCGTTGGCTTCCAAGCACATTGACATGCCGTGTCCCGAAGTATGGGAGAATGGGAGCGTGCTATGTTATCAGTCTGGCCGTTATCGAATCTTAATACTATCGGGTACGGAGTACTTGTAGAACATGTGACATGTACGTGCAGAAGTGCCTGAGGCATGAAATACTACTAAATTTGGGTTGATTATTCTGAACGTCACTCGGTGCCTTGTTGTAGCAATACGGTGTTCTATTGGTTTACCTGTTTACGAATAGAGTCCTTGTAAACACCTGTCTTTAAACCCACAAAACTAGAATATCTCTGACAGCTGCAGATATTCAATTCTGTACCCAAGACAAGGCTGGTCTTTGTATTGGATAAGCTCATCGTTGAGATCCAATTGAGTCTCGACCACATCAATCATACTTGGACGCAGCATTCGAAGAGAAGTCTTTCCCACAAGAGTTTGAATCAAACTCGAAAGGATGTCATGTCGTATTGGGTTTTCATGTTCTTTTCAGACATATCGGAGATGATAATGCACGCCACACGAGTCCATCCAAAAACATATATGCCCACAAAAGCACAATCCATGCAATATAGTACAGGTATCCATTACTTAAAACCAAGGAAAAATAATAGCAAGTTCGAGTCTATTCCGAATCGACCTCAATAAATCGCCTGACTCCCAACGAAGTTATATCCCAGTGATGGTTGCGAGCCACGGATGCGTTCGGATACTCCGTTCACAGACTAAAACACTCATCAGCTTTTGTGAATGCGAGAAGGTGTTGAGATTATCGCGAGATCATCAGGGGAAAAGAGTGTCGACTTACGGAGGGAGCAGGAGTTCGCTGAGAGAGCTGTAAAGGAAAGCGACACCGGCCTGTGGTAAAAAGGGACAATCAGAATCTCCACTGCAAATCAAATAAAGACGAAAACATTGCACAAATTGCACAATCATTAACTTACGCCGAAGACAAGAACACTTCTCACGATGGTGGCGTTCTCAGGATGAGTGACTTCATCGTAGGCGGCACCCAAAAAGCTCTTTTCCTGGTGGGCAGAGACGACGCGTTGTCTGGGAGCCATTGTAAAGATGTGAAGAGCGAAGGCGGTATACAAAAGAGAAGTAATTCTCTGGGTGTGATGTCTGCGTAGAGAGGCAAAGCCGGAGTAATGATATTGAGACTGCGGAATGAAAGTAAATCGATGCGCTCCGAGAAATCTTTCGGCACTTGGCGGTTGCGTGGTTAGCTTATCGCGCCGCCCGTAATATCATCGGAGCAGCTACGCGACCAAGTGATGAGGACAAATTCCTGAGCGCGATTTAGAAAATATATATTTCAGTTATCAGGCCTATCTTGAAGAATATCCAAATTACCTGTTCCAGACTATTTTAGCGTCTGAATTGGCTGGTAGGCTACGTGGGTTTCTTCTAAGAACGCCCCTCTTACACAAGCCGCAACAATGACCAGCATAGATGAGCTTTTCAAGGTAAGATATCTGTAATCTATATCAGGGTTATTAGCGCTGACGAAGTAAGAAACCTACTTCAGCAGCCAGCGCGAAGCGCAAACTGGACGCTACCACGGATCCAAGTACACTCTGCACTTCTACTTTTTCCTTCGCCGCTTACTGACCTTCGACAAAGATGAACTCTACAAGGCCGCCAAATTAGATGCGAACGGCGATGTGAAATCCAAGGGGAAGGAGCCAATGGTTGAAGATGAGAACGAAAATGATGGTGAAGCTGGTCCAGAACTACCTCCAGACTTCGATGCCGAGGATATCCCAGACGATGAGGAAGGGCGCTTTTTCGGAGGCGGCATGGAGCGCCAGACGGCTCAGGCGATGCAATATATTGACCAGCAGGATGAAGGGGATGTCGCGGTATGTACAGCCAAGCTTGTGGAGCTGCACTCATTGGATGCTAAGATTCTTGCTTAGCCCGAGAAATTCGATGCCGCATGGCTGCGACGATTTGCTCTCAATTTCGAAAAAAAGATATCGAAAAATGCCGAGTTGCGCGGAAAATATGAGAATGACCCACAAAAGTATGCGGTGCATCGGCGCTTCATCATTCTGGGTGATAATGTGCGGTGCTAACTGTATGTCCAGGTTCATGGCCTCGGAAGCCGATCTAGACAGCGAAATAAAGGGACTATCCATTCTCTCAGAGCACCCCGAATTATACGCGGAGTTTTCAGAGTTGGGCTGTGTAGGCTCTCTGATCTCTTTACTCTCGCACGAAAACGCTGATATTGCCATTGATGCGATCCAAATCATCAGTGAGCTAACCGACGAAGATGTTGAAGCCGAGCAAGAACAATGGGATACATTGGTAAATGCAATGGTACGCTACCGAGTTCAAGATTTGCCGTATAATGCTGATATCCCTAGTTGGATGCCGATCTTATCGAACTATTAGCCCAGAACTTGTCACGGTTGGATGAAGGGTCTGATGTCGACAGAGCAGGGGTTTACTATGTGCTGAGTGGGTTGGCCCTGTTCCTAGACTGAGACATGAAAATGATACTGATTCATTCACAGGTGTTTTAGAGAACCTTGCGTCACAAACGTTGCATGCAGAGAAGCTAGGCGATGATTCAAATTTGCTTCCATGGCTCCTGGCTCGCATACAGAAGAAGGAAAGACCGGTAAGTCAAAACCAGCAATACTCAGCTGAAATATTAGCCATCATATTGCAGTCGTCTTCCAAGACGCGAAACAAATTTATTGGCCTCGAGGGCGTCGATGTCCTTCTTCAACTGCTCAGCCAGTACCGTAAGCGCGATCCTGCAAAGGATTCAGACGAGGAAGAATTCGTGGAGAACCTGTTCGACTGCTTGATCTGTCTCGTCGATGAAGATTCCGGAAAGGAAAAGTTTCTTGAAGGCGAAGGGATTGAACTTGCGCAAATCATGTTGAAGGAAGGAAAGTTCAGCAAACCGCGCGCTTTGCGAGTCTTGGACCATGCCCTAGGTGGACTGGGTGGCAGGCCCGCGTGCGAAAGGTTTGTCGAAGCAGCATGCTTAAGAACAGCGTTTGGGATGTTCATGAAGAAGGTAGGGCTTCTAGCTTTTTGATCATGAGCTTGAAACTGACCTCGAACAGCAAGAAAATCAAACGATAGAACATTTACTGGGTATCTTTGCTTCGCTTCTGCGCCTCCTACCGGGAGGTTCAGCAGCCCGTATCCGTACTCTTGCTAAATTCATGGAAAAAGATTATGAGAAGATTGAGAAGTTAGTCAAGCTGAGGCGCGATTATGCGTCGAGGGTAACGCCAGTTGAACAAGCTATCGAGAAAGAACGGAAGAATTTCACTGAAGAGGAACGGGAGGTGATGGCAGTGGAATGGCTCTCTCGGCGATTTGATGCTGGTCTATTCTCCCTCCAGGTTTGTCGCTATCTTTTTAGGAAGGTCGCTCCGATAACTGACATGAATTCCAAAGCTCATCGATGTAATACTGGCGTGGCTCGTGGCAGAAGATGACGGCGCTAAAAAGAAGATCATGTCCCTTTTGGCGGACCGCGACGAAGGCCTTTCTCTTATCCAGGGCACATTGAAAGGTAAGTTTAGTCCTTGTTTTCCTCTCTAGTATTGTACTGACACCGTGTTAGAACAAGTTGAAGGGCTTTCGGATGATGATCCCGGACAGAGAGATCATAAGGAAATGCTTGAGACTCTTTTACAGTTCTTATAAACAAACTTGCTAGCATTAGGGAGATCTATGGGCCTATGTATTATAGTCAATACCATTCCTCAATTTCATTTTTATTAGGGTAAAGGCCTCTAGTGCCTCAGGCGTGAACTGAATATCACGTGCTATATTATCGACTTCCGCGTTAGTCAGCTGATAGCGCCAAGACCGCGGTCGAGGCTAGTGGCGGCTCTGCTCAAGATCCATCAGAGTCCGGAGGTGAAGCCTAGCACTGCGCCATTCATCCCCATCATCACAGTTTGTCTGGGATCTCTCACTTTTCATCCACCTGAGATTCCCAGCTCACTGACTTTTCCCCAGCGTCTCTTTTCGACAACGCCTTCCCAGGTGTCACTGCTCCTTTCAGCAGCAAGACAGCCTGTGCGCGGGATCTTTTATTCAAGCGCGTCGCGCTGTTTGCGCTCACTGATTGATTCTTTATCCGGGTAGTATTGGTGGCAGAACCTCGTCAAAATGGCGGACTACGATGATGCCTACGAGGATGAGTTTTACGATGATATGGAGGAGGGGATCACCTCGGAGGATTGCTGGACTGTCATCTCGTCTTTCTTCGATACGAAGGGTCTAGTCTCGCAACAGCTGGATTCTTTTGATGAATTCATTTCATCGACAATGCAAGAACTGGTGGAGGAGCAAGGCCAAGTAACACTCGACCAGACACTTCCGCCCGACGAAGATGAAGTCGATCCCGTTGTTGTCCGTCGCTATGAGCTCAAGTTCGGAACAGTTATGCTTTCCCGCCCCTCCGTCACTGAGGGTGATGGTGCCACCACCATCATGTTGCCCCAGGAAGCTCGTCTGCGAAACCTTACCTACGCTAGTCCCCTCTACCTCGGCATCACAAAGCGAATTATGGAAGGTAGAGAGCGATCGGTTGCTGATCGTGACGATGAGGAGATAGAGGAAGACGAAGACAGAAAGGCTCGTGGCACATACCTCCAGTGGGAGCAGAAGGAGCTACCGGCCGATCAAGCCAAAGAGGAAACCGTTTTCATCGGAAAAGTGCCTATTATGCTCAAGTCCAAGTATTGTATCCTCAAGGACCTGAGCGAGCAAGCTCTATACAACTGGAATGAATGCCCTTACGACTCCGGTGGTTATTTCATCATAAACGGAAGCGAAAAGGTTTTGATTGCGCAGGAGCGAAGTGCAGGTAACACGGTCCAGGTTTTCAAAAAAGCACCCCCGAGTCCAACACCATATGTTGCTGAAATTCGAAGTGCCGTCGAGAAAGGGTCTCGACTTCTTTCCCAACTGTCCCTTAAGTTGTTCGCTAAGGGTGATAGTGCAAAGGGTGGCTTCGGCCCTACTATCAGGTCCACATTGCCCTATGTGAAGACGGACATTCCGATTGTTGTCGTTTTTAGAGCGCTCGGTGTGGTCTCTGATGAGGACATTCTTAACCACATTTGCTACGACCGTAACGACATCCCTATGCTGGAAATGCTCAAGCCTTGTATTGAAGAGGGTTTCGTCATTCAAGATCGTGAAGTTGCTTTGGATTTCATTGCCAAGCGTGGCTCTTCCCAATCAAGTATGAACCATGAGCGTCGTGTGAGATACGCGCGTGAAATCATGCAGAAGGAGCTACTTCCTCATATCTCACAGAGCGAAGGTAGTGAGACTAGGAAGGCATTCTTCTTAGGTTATATGGTGCACAGACTTCTGCAATGTGCTCTAGGCCGCCGGGATGTTGATGACCGTGATCACTTCGGAAAGAAGCGTCTCGATCTTGCAGGCCCCCTTCTGGCGAACCTTTTCCGTGTTCTGTTTACGCGAGTTACTCGTGATCTCCAGCGTTATGTCCAGAGATGTGTTGAGACCAACCGAGAGATCTACCTCAATATTGGTATCAAGGCCAGCACACTGACCGGTGGTTTGAAGTACGCCCTTGCTACTGGTAACTGGGGTGAACAGAAAAAGGCCGCAAGCGCTAAGCTGGTGTGTCGCAAGTGCTCAGTCGTTATACCTACGCTTCCACTTTGTCACATCTTCGCCGAACCAACACGCCTATAGGTCGTGATGGTAAAATTGCTAAACCTCGCCAGCTTCACAATACCCATTGGGGGTTGGTCTGTCCAGCAGAGACTCCCGAAGGTCAGGCTTGTGGTCTGGTCAAGAACTTGGCCCTCATGTGTTATGTCACTGTTGGTACACCCAGCGAACCTATCATTGACTTTATGATTCAGCGTAACATGGAAGTTCTCGAGGAGTTTGAGCCTCAAGTCACACCTAACGCAACAAAGGTCTTCGTGAATGGAGTGTGGGTCGGTATTCACAGAGATCCTGCTCATCTTGTCAACACAATGCAGTCGCTGCGGCGACGGAATATGATCTCTCACGAAGTCAGTTTGATTCGTGATATCCGCGAGCGGGAGTTCAAGATCTTCACCGATGCTGGACGTGTTTGCAGGCCGTTATTCGTCATTGACAACGATCCGAAGAGCGAAAACTGTGGCGGTCTGGTCTTGAACAAGGAGCACATCCGCAAGTTGGAACAAGACAAAGAATTACCACCCGACCTCGACCCTGAAGATCGTAGAGAACGTTACTTCGGATGGGATGGATTAGTGAGATCTGGTGTTGTAGAGTATGTTGACGCTGAAGAAGAAGAGACGATCATGATTGTCATGACACCGGAAGACCTGGAGATTTCCAAACAGCTTCAGGCTGGTTACGCCCTTCCTGAAGAGGAGCTTGATCCTAACAAGCGTGTCCGCTCTATACTGAGCCAGAAGGCACATACTTGGACACACTGTGAGATTCATCCTAGTATGATTCTCGGTGTTTGTGCCAGTATCATTCCATTCCCTGATCACAATCAATCGCCCCGTAATACATACCAGTCTGCTATGGGTAAGCAAGCTATGGGTGTGTTCTTGACAAACTTCGACCAGCGCATGGAGACGATGGCGAATATCCTCTACTACCCTCAGAAGCCATTAGCGACAACACGGTCAATGGAGTTCCTGCGATTCCGTGAATTGCCAGCTGGTCAAAACGCCATCGTTGCCATTGCTTGCTATTCCGGTTACAACCAAGAAGATTCGGTTGTTATGAACCAAAGCAGCATTGATCGTGGTCTTTTCCGCAGTCTTTTCTACCGTACATACACAGACAGTGAGAAGATGGTTGGTTTGACTGTTGTTGAACGCTTTGAGAAGCCAATGCGACAGGATACGATTGGCATGAGAAAGGGCACTTATGATAAATTGGACGAGGATGGTATCATTGCTCCTGGCGTACGTGTCTCTGGTGAGGATATCATCATTGGTAAGACGGCCCCTCTGGCTCCTGACGCGGAGGAGCTCGGCCAGAGAACCAAAGCCCATACCAAGCTGGATGTCTCTACACCTCTTAGAAGTACTGAGAGCGGTATAGTGGACCAGGTTCTGGTGTCCACCAGCAATGATGATCTGAAGTTCGTCAAGGTCCGTATGAGGACTACCAAAGTCCCTCAAATTGGAGACAAATTCGCTTCGCGTCACGGACAGAAGGGTACTATTGGTATTACCTACCGTCAGGAAGACATGCCATTCTCTCGGGAAGGTGTTTCACCAGATTTAGTCATCAACCCTCACGCCATTCCCTCGCGTATGACCATTGCTCACTTGATCGAGTGCCAGCTTAGTAAGGTATCAGCCTGCGTGGCTTTGAGGGTGATGCAACACCCTTTACCGATGTTACTGTCGATTCTGTCTCTCGTCTACTTCGCGAGCACGGCTACCAGTCTCGTGGGTTTGAGGTAATGTACAACGGCCATACCGGCCGGAAGCTAGTGGCACAGGTGTTCTTGGGACCTACGTACTACCAACGTCTGCGCCACATGGTCGATGACAAGATCCATGCCCGTGCCCGTGGACCAACTCAGATCTTAACTAGACAGCCCGTGGAAGGTCGTGCCCGTGATGGTGGTCTCAGATTCGGAGAGATGGAACGTGATTGTATGATCGCCCATGGAGCAAGTGCCTTCCTAAAGGAACGTCTCTTTGACGTTTCTGACCCGTTCCGCGTCCACATCTGCGATGACTGTGGGTTAATGACGCCAGTCGCGTAAGTGATCTCCCTACCCCCTGGATAGTCTTCTTTCATCGGCAATTGAGCTAACAATGACCTCTTCGCTGTAGTAAACTGAAGAAGGGACTTTTCGAGTGTCGACTGTGCAACAACAAGCACAGGATCTCACAGGTGCATATCCCATATGCCGCCAAGCTTCTGTTCCAAGAGCTGGCCTCGATGAACATTGCCGCCCGCATGTTTACCAACCGTTCCGGTGTGTCCGTGCGGTGAGGACCGTCGTGAGGAGTCCATCATCCCTGCATCTGTACAATCGGCTTTCTTTTCTGTTACGATATGGTCTTACGCGGTGTTTCTCTACATTTTTAATCCTTATCCTCTCAAGCTTTCTGTGTTGTCCACCAAGAAAACAGATTGATTTGGCATTTTTCCGGCGTACCGTGGATTCGAGGGATGCTTCTTATGGTTTTGGTACTTAAACACACTTCCTTTTCTTGCTGCTGGGGATGATTCTGGAGAAGCGAACATACCTTTGTGTCTTTTCGTTGCGTACCATATCAGAATAAAATTTAGAATATCTTTTTTTTTTGGAATCTTCCGTTGCTTCCATCCTTGTAGATGCCGCCCTTATCTGCTAGGATCCTGGTTATCCGACTATCTGCAAGTGCATAGATAGGACGCTCACCTCGGCTGGAGGGGATGATGGAATTGACCCCTCCTTGCGTAAAAATTTCCCGGTAAACCTTATCACGATCCTGCAGGGAGTAAAGCGATCAACGTCGACATCCTGTTCGTCGACCGGCATTGACGAGAAAAGTTGATGTGATGGAACTCACAGGCGGTAAGTCCGGGATGGTGGTTGGATGGCCGGTCGACCAATGGACCAGGCCAGTTACCCGCCGACTGGCACCGGGATGGGCGGGGAAGTGCGGGAGAGGAGCAGCAATTGGTAGTTGACCATCGTGACTCCACCGCCTCCAAGAATAGCAGTTGGATGCCGTGTGACGAGACCCAAGAACAAGGACCTGAGGCTGCCAAAGAGACTGCCTTAAAAGATGCCGCAGCCGCCAGGAAGCCTTGCGCCTTCTTCTCTTCTCTTCTCTTTCTGTTCTTCAGCAAGACTGGTCTTGTTTGGAGCTGCCCTTAGTTTTGTTTGGAGACACCTGTGCACTGGTTGCATTGGTTTAGTTGTTTGTTCAATTCATTCTACTATACCTTAATAATCATCTTTCTATACTTCCCCCCCCTTCAACCTTTTGGTATCAAAAAACACAAAAATCATACTCAAATTCCCCTGACAGACGAGCTGTGCTCTCTCATACACCAATCTCAATTATTATCCCCATCTTGAATTTTAACAGTCCAACTTTGTCGCTGGTCGACGTCTCCATTCAGCAGCTCACAACCTTGCTCAGCCTTGTTCATTTTATCGCCGAGGCTTTTTACTATCTTTCTCTAATTTCGTGACGTGGACTGGATCCGCGAGCATTACTGTTGGATACCGCAGTCAACCAACCAACAAACCAACACGGACTTGATTGAATCGGCTCTGGTAGTCTTTCGACTCAAGTCTTATATCTTCTGCATCTAATACTGTGGAAGAGTGCTCTCATCTTTGACTTCGACACGATAATCTATACATTCACCTTGAATATTATTTAATCTTTAGTCTCACTACGTCAATCATTCAAAATGTCCGCTGTGCAACTCAAGTTCACTCTTCGGACGTCGTCCAATGTCAAGACTGTCCACCTGCTTGGCTCCTGGGACAACTACTCCCGCCAGATTCCCCTCTCCAGGGATGAGGGCAAGCCCGGTTCATGGGTTGGCAAGTTCCGCTTCCAGACCTCCATGCTTAAGCTCGGCGGCCGCTACTGGTACTATGTAGGTTTAACCTCTCCGTCCGTGACTGTTGGCAAGTACTAATTCTTCCAGTACATCATGGATGGATACCACGTCTCCCATGATCCCGCCGTTGAGTACACTATTGAGCCAACCACCGGCCGCAAGCTGAACATCCTTGATGTTCCCGGGGGTAGCAAGAAATCCAGCTCATCCGCCTCGAAGCCCAGAAGAACCTCTGATGAGGTCGTCAAGGGCCGTGCTCCGTCCCCATCCAAGATCCACCACCCCAAGCCCTCCAAGCCCTACGCCTCTCGCCAAATCCGGGAGACTGACTTCGCTCCTACCATGGAGGACCTTACCATGCGCTTTGCGGGGTCCCGCCTGTCAGACGAGTACTCTCTCTCCAACAGCCCACCTAGCTCAGTTGGATCGTCCCTTTCTTCTCGGTCTTCTCGTTCCTCCGGCAGCACCTCGCCTTCCTCGCTTTCTTCCATGAGTGACCCAGCCAGCGTCTGCCGCTGCGAGCGCTACGGCATCACTCGGAAGGGCGACCGTGTCAAGCTCGACTGCGGTGGTAGCCGCTGTGGCTACGTTACCGAGTCATCTGAGGCTAGCTGCTCCGAGTCTGACAGTGATGAGGAGTACCGCCGGGCCCGCCGGGGTGTTCGTCGCCAGGGCATTGTTGTGCGTCGGTAAATCATGCAATTGGTGGAATCTTTACTTCGCCAACTCTTTGGAGATGGGTTGACTCCATCCGTCAAGCAGTGTCAATCAATATGGCATGTTACAGTCATGCCATGATGCTCAGAACACAGTCTCTCCTTAACAGGACTATGAAGAGAACATTTTTATACACAAAAGAAAAAACAAAAAAAATAGTCCCGGATCGTGGCTCCGCTACGATTATGCCGGACTCACCTCGTATGATAGCGAAGTTGCAGTAGGAGGAGGTTCGCGTCCGGGGAGGATAGTGGGGTTAGTACAATGCCTTTAGGCAGAGATGTGGGGAGATAAATAGTATTGGGGGTGAAGCTGAGAATATGGGAGGATAACGTCGCTCTGTGTCTGTCGCTTTAGCAGACCAGCCAGGCGAATGATTCATGCCATGAAGGAATGAATGAGTGATGACTTTATCTGGTCACGTCGGTGCTTAACCCTAGCCAGGGATATGTATTTGACTGGGTCCAGAATGAATGATGAATGATACTCCTTCAATTAGCTTAAGAAATATTAAAAAAATACAAAAAAAATGTTTTATCTGCACTTTCAATCCACAATCTTGCTCTTAAGCCTCTATGTATGCATGGAGGCACAAGTATGGAACCCCACACTCGGATCATCCGCGACAATCAAGTCCGGATATCCCGATCAAGACAGGTAAAGGCATACACGGTCCCCACCGGTTGAGTACACTACAACCACTAAATAGATCAGTCAGTACTCACATATATCTTTATAAAACCAATCAATAACCCCTGTCTAACACGATATAATAGACACCTACATCTCTATCCAGAGAGATCAGCCCAGATCCATCCAGTACATACACGAAAGGCCTCAGCAACCAAAGCAAAAGCAAAAGCAAAAGCAAAAGCAAAATGACACTCAACCCACTGACAGCCCTGTACAAAGAGAAAAACGGCTCAAAAATAACAACAGACATCTACCTACCCCAAGCCCAATCCAACAAGAATTTAAAATACCCCATCTGTACGTTGTCCCCTACCTCGTCTTTCTCTGCCCTCCTGCCCCCGAAAGTATACAAACCCACCTAAAACCATCAACAATGAATGAGATTAATAAGTAGAACAGTAATAAACATCCACGGCGGAGCCTTCATGCTGGGCAACTCACGTATGGTCTCCATCCCCCAAATCGAGCACTGCCTATCCCGGAACTGGATCGTAGTGGTGCCCAACCACCGTCTCTGCCCCGGGGTGAATATCCTGGAAGGCCCGGTAGAGGATTGTCGGGATCTCCTGGCGTGGGTGTATGATGGTAGTCTGGAAGGGTTTTTACGTGACCAGGGGGTTGAAACGATGAGAGTTGATACAGAGAAGGTTATGGCATTCGGGACGAGTAGTGGAGGGTTTTTGGCGTTGAGTTTGGTACGTTTCCAACCAACCAACCCCCCTTCATTCCCCTGCTTCTCTTTGAATTAGATATCTGTATTGAGTCCATATGCTGATGAGGAACCGATGAAGGGCTACAACGTTCCCAAGCCACCGAAAGCCATTCTCGATTTCTACGGTGCTGTCCATTTCACGCACCCCTTCTGGACCGCGCCCCTTCCTCACGTGGCTGAGAAGTTGCCCCCAGGTCTGTCCCCGGAGTTCATTGGCAGAGTGTACGAGGAGCATCCGGTCCCCACGGATAGTTCTATCTCGCTCGAGGGCCAGACGGAGTCTGGACGGGCTAAGGGGCCGGACTTTTCGCGGCCGCGGGATGCGTTTGCGTTTATGCAGATTGCGAACGGGCGGGTGTTGAGTGCTTGTTTCCCTGGGCGGGATGTGAGGGAGATTGATCCTGTGTGCTGCGTTCGGGAGGGGTTTCCTGCTACGTGTGTTGTGCATGGGCTTGAGGATCGGATGGTTCCGATTTGTCTAAGTAGGGAGTTGGTGAGAGTTCTTGAGGAGAAAGGGGTGGAGTGTGAAATGGTGGAGGTTCCAGGGGAGGACCATACGTTTGCGATGGGGATGGAGGTTGGGTCGAGGACTTGGGAGATGCAGAGAAAGGGGTTTGATTTCTTGGAGAGGATTATCGGTCGAGAGTAATTCTTATTGGGGTAGAGGATAATGAGATGTTGTATTGTATTGGTGATGTTCTGGCCTGCCAGTTGCATACACCGGAATATTAGGACTAATGAGTGCCGAGGTCACCAGCCTGGAAATCAAAAACTCCATCCATGCAAACTCGTATACCCAGTATACTCCCATTACATCTCAATGCTGAACCGCTGAACCCAAATAGCGAATCGCTAATCACTGTCGTAGTTCGTCGTGTCTCATGACCGGCATCGACAACCCTAGCTCAGTACTAGGGGCACAAAGTAATAAACCGAAAAAAAAAAAAAAAG